TGCATTACATTTCATATTGCATTTTACATGCATTTCATTTCACGTTATTTTGCGCATCGCGCTATCTTACGCACTCTACCTGCACTTGTTAGTGCATTGCATTGTTATGCATGACTTCACTTGCGTTGTCACGCAACTTTCAATTGCATTGATATGCATACTTCTAACAATGTTGTACCTGTTAAGTTTTCTTTCTCTTTCAGGTATGATATTGTATGTACGGTTCATTTGAAGTTGGCACGACCAGACGAATCGCACAGGTATTGTATTCTCCACATCAAATGTAGCGAGAATTACATAATTCTCTTACATCCCTTCTGCATTGTAATGTAGTTTGGTCTTTGGCTTGCTTAAAACTGTTGCATGTTATGCTTCGTTACAGCTTTCTTTGCATGATCATAAGTTATGCTCGGCTTTGTGCATTGTTCTTGCATTTTGCCCCAGCCTTCGGGTGCATACCTTTGTCTGTAGCTTGTATGCTTTGTCTAAGTCTTCGGCCTTGTCAAAAATGGGTCGTCTCTAGGCTTTGACATTCACTCCCGTCATTGTTATAACTTTCGAGTTCTGTCAAAGAGAGGCAACTGTAGACACCCCATTTTTGACCGTCCTCAAGACTTGGACGTCACCGTTTGAACACTCGGTGATCATCCATGCTCGTGTTCGTTTTGAGTTCTCGGAGGTCTCGGCTACACGCCTTGCCTCAAGATCTCTCAACTTGTCTGTTTTGTGCTTGGACATAGACCAAACACTTGTGTTTTTGCTTCTAAGGGAAGAGGGTGGCTTGTTGGCCATCCCTACACCCCACCGGCCAAGGATTGAAGCCATCGGCCCCCCTCTTCTAGCCATCGGCCAAAGATTGTGGCTGGTCGGGACATTTTTGGTCGGTCGGCCACCTTTGTTGGTTAATCGGCCATTTTTGCTAGCCAAACCTTGTTCATTTGCTTTTGCAGATATTTTTATGCCAGTTGTACACGTGTATGGAGGGATTTGTCTCTTGTTTAGCTTCTCTTGGAAGCCTTAGAAATTGGATTTCTATAAGAGGGAAGGCCCTCATCCCTTCTCAGAGGTTCTAGAATTTAGGGTTAGACATCATATATATCTCTCTCTATATATATTTGTGTGTGTATTTGTGACCAAAAGTGTGTTTTATTTACATTTTTGCACTAAAACACCTAGCATTACACCATCGTCTTGGAGTTGAGGTCCTTGGAGGTTGATTTTGGTGTTCTTGGGTTGCTTTGAACTCAAAAAAACCTACTAGACCATTGTTCTTGAAGAAGGTCTACAAGGGTGAGTGTTCTTGCTTTAGTTTTCCCATTTTTGCACAAGCTTTTAGCCTATCTTGCTTATTGTTTTAAGATTTGACTATAACTGATAAAAGTTCTAATTTTATGTACTTTAGAACTTTGCTTTAGGTCACTTTGAGGTTTGGGGTTGTCTCCCCCCTCCAAGGCCTTGTTAGGCCTTGTTTCAGACCATCCATTTTGGCCATTGTTCTTAGCTTTGCATGACCTCTCTACCATTGAAATCCAGAGGATTTTCAGTGGTGGAGAGGTGGTTTTGGTGTCCTAAATAGGAGAGGGGACTTGTTGTCTTTGATACTTGCACAAATGGCTTATGTTGTTGCTTGTATGCCTAGCTTGCTTTAGCTTCATTTCAGTGGGTATTAGGCTTTGTTTTGCCATGTTATACCTCTGTTTCAAGTTGGTTTAGACATGCCATGTATGCTTCATACACTTGTCTTGTAATCTCATGTTTTAGCCTTAACATGCATCATGTTGTAACATGTGTTTTTAGCATGATTTTGGCTCAATCTCATGAAGCTTCTAGTTTTGTTTTAACATGCTAAAGCTCTGATTTTGGTTGTTTTGGTCGTCAATGACTTGTTTTGTATTGCTACCATGTAATCTTGTTTATTAGCTTCGAGTGTTGAATCCTCTAGCATGCTCCATTTGGATCATTTCAGTGGTTTGGCACCACTTATAATGCTATTTCAGTCCATATGTTATGCTTGTATGCTTGCATTTATAACTCCTTTAATGCTTTAAAGAGTTAGGGTTGTATGCCTCATGGATGTGTCATTGTGTACGCCATCATGTCTAGGCATTTGGGATGTCATCTAAGTGGGTTTTTGGGCTCATTTTAGCATGTCATATCCCTGATTTTGGTCACCTAAATCATGCCATGTTTGGTTGTCTTAGGTGTAGTGTAACACCTCTTTGGTGGCCTTGTATGCCTCATGCCTTGCCCCTTTTGTTTTAGCATGTTTTAGCTTTGGCCATTGCATGTTTTAGGCTTACTTTGGCATGATTTGGAACTATTTTGGTCCACTTTGGTCATTTACTTCATGTGTCACATGATCATGGTTTGAGCCTTTGGGCTAGTTTCAAGCTTTTTTTTGTGCATGACTTGTTTGCATTAGTAGGTTGATTTGGCATCATCCTTTGCATGTTTTCAGAACATTAAAATGCTTGCCATATGTCCATGTTTGTCCCTTTTAAGTGCCCTTAAAAGTTTCCCTTTTATGCTTGAGTGTTGGACCATTATACATGCATGTTTGTATGTGACTTTGTCCCTTATCCCTTAGCATATTGGCCGCTGATTTGGGCCTATTTGAGAGCTGCCCATATTGGTTTAAGACCATCCTTTGCATGTTGTTACATGCTTGCCTTGCATGTTGTCGCATACTTGGCCCCTTTGCATGTTGTCGCATGCTATGTATGTTTGTACGTCTAGATGATAGGACTATTAGCATGTTGTTGCATGTTTAAGTGATATTGCATTTGGCATGCATCTTGATTAAGTTGCTTAACATGTTGTTACATGTCTTTCATGTTTGCATGTTTAAATTGCATCTTGCATGCTTGTTAGTTTGCATACTAGTTACATACTTGCATGTTTGCATGCTTATTCACATGCTCATATTGCATGCTTAGCTTGCATAGCATTGTGCATGCATCCCATTCCTCTTGATCAAAGATGATAGAGATTGAAGGCCTCTTATTTGTCTTGTGTGCATTTCATTTAACATTGAAATTGCACACTTGGCCTCTTTGGCCATCATGCATCGAAACGCGTGATTGATAGCCCGAGGGTCGAGGACCACACTCCTTTAAGTTCATAACATGATAAGGAGGGTGTTTGTGCATATATTGCATTGTAAATGCTCTGCCATGCTCTGTCTGTCCTCTGCTGCTGTCAAACAGGATTCTGCAGGAAGAGATGGCCGGTCGGCCATCTTCAGTGCCGGCCGGCTATCCATATTTGGCCAAGAGCTTCATTTGTGGTTGATGACCACTTTTCGATGGCCGGTGACCATTTCTCTTGGCCAGTGACATCCCACAGTGTTCAGCGAGTGTTCCAGAACCAACCTTGGGACTTGTGCAATTTTCAGAGGCATAAAACAGTGCAAACAGAAGCAATATGAGTATGGCGTTGGATTTCCGAGCGAAGCTGAGCGTGCATGCATACACCCCTCTCCCCGAGGCTGTTTTACTGCTTTCAGTAGCTTAATTAATTTGTTTAATTAGTTAAGTGGTTATGTAAATAATTAATTAGCTTGTTAGTTAGTTAATTTGTATTATTCTTTTGGACCCTCCGAGAGAGGGCAATGTTGTAATAAGTGTGCGTGTGTGTGATGCATGTCTTCCAACCCCACGTCTTTCTCCTTTTTACTTACCTACTTTGATAGTTAGTTCTAGGTTATGTTTTGATTAGCATACTTATGCTCGCATGTTTGCATCCATTCATCTGTCTTGTATGCACTGGACTCGGCGCATCATGCTAACCGCATAGTGTTTCAATTCAAACTTGAATACGTGCATCAAGTTGTTGCATTTCACATGCCATTCTTAAATTAGTCGAGCCTATTCTAGCTGCATTTGTACGCATTGCATTAGTCATCTTAACATGAACTAGGATCACGCATTTGATTACTAACTAGCTATTGTTTTGGATCGGAGTACATTGTAAGTGTTTATGCTTTAGCATCTTGCATGCGTATGAGTGACTGCCATGATAGCATGCTTACCATGAGGCTATTTGCTTATGTGATATAACTGCCTGAATGCCTGTGGGTGAAGGTTGGGTTGCTTGAATTGGAATAATTCGTCGAAACCCGTGTTTTAGCCTACTTGCGAGTAGCAAATTTCAATCCATTTTCAAAACAAACGGATATGCGATGCATTGTTCCAAATTAGGCAATCTAGTCTATAATTGTATGTTGTGCGCATCACATAGTAATTCTAGGCTAATAAACTGGAATAAGAGCACATGTGTTTTCAAAAACAAGATATCATCTTTAGTAGTGGCCAATCTTTGATCGGGCAAGTGGGGTTGCTCATAGCTGACCTTCCCCAATCGTACCCAAGTTCCCCAGCCAAGGCAACTTTGGTGATGACGGACATGTGGCCTTAGGCAACGAGTAAGGGTTTCCTAAATTCCCCCAAAATAAAATATTTAGGTGGCGACTTTGTATCTGGCAAAGCAGTCCATGTTTGGCACTTCTTTACAAAAATCTGTTGTCCAAAACGATTTGCCGAATTTGGACTCTTTGATGATTCATCGGTCTTGCATTGCACTCTGCGAGATTGGATACAGGACCGTGACATTGAGTCCTGAACTGTAGTAAGCCCATAATGAACAGAACGGGATTCCCTCCCGGGATGTTCGGGGACGTCTCCTTTCAATAATTATTGTAATTTTTTTTTTTTGGGCATTTACATACAAGTCCCATTTTCTCAACTTATAATCCATTAAGTTCTATATAAAATTATTTGCTCCTTCAAGTCCCATTAATTTTTAATAGACCAATTTACCCTTCCAAGACCTCCTCGCTACCAAACAATTGTTGTCTTCATTCTCTCTCTCTTACTTTTACACCCACTTCCCAACAACAACCATACACACACACACACACACAACACACTCTCTCTCTCTCTCTCTCTCTCTCTCTCTCTTCTCCCTACAGACCCAGTCTCTGGTCTCCACTGTATAACTCCTCATTCTCCTCGGTCCAGTGCGTCGTCAGCTTCAGCGCCGACTTTGACCATGTCGATCTCACCACCTGCCACCGCCGTGGTATCACTGTCACCAACACTGGCGATGCCTTCTTCGCCGATGCCACTGACCACTTCTTCTATAAGCCAACTCAACAGATACAGATTCACCACTTAATATAGAGATTGTGGATGAGCTATCAGGTCTAATCATCTCAACTAAAACAGAAGGACTAAATATAGGCTGCATGTCATAAAGGAGTTTATTAACTAGTAGAATAGCACGCAACCAAAAAGCACTGTTCCACCATGGACCGCATATAAAAGCAAATGCAAAAACTGAAAAAACAGAAGTCTTCACTGCTTCCTAATTTCAAGATGTGTAAACTGAGAAATTTCTCAATTTTTTATAGTTTTAAAATTGAGAATATTATCAGTTTAAAATTAAAAAAAATGATAATATTCTCAGTTTTAACACAGAAAAATTGAAAATTTTCTCAATTTTACTGGATTTTTTTGTAAATTGAAATCATTCTCAATTTTAAATTCAAAACATTATCAGTTTTGGAATTGAGAATGTCCCAATTCTTACCTACAAACATTCTTAGCCTGGGAGCTGCTTTGTTCTTCGGAAGCCATTGAAATGGTCCTTGGGAGAGAATATGAGAGAGAGCACAAAATTATGATTTGACCACTTCGAATGTATTTTGGCTCCATTTTTTATATAACAGAAAGACAGAGAGAGAGAGAGTCTGAAACCAAAAAGAAAAAAGAAAAAAGAAAAAAGAAAAAAGAGAGAGAGAGAGAAGACAAATGAGAAAGATTCTCAAGTCCTCGTTTTCCTTGTTCAGAAGATCAATATGTGATTGAAGAATGTTAATTATGGCTTGGGCCCTCATCACTTCAAGCTTCGTCGTCTCTCTCTCCATAGAAACATTAAGGATCTCATTTTCCAAATTGCTGATGAATTTCAAATATTCGGGGGGCACGAATTTCTCAAGATTAGATGCATCGAATGTTGACGGGTTATTCGGATGGTTTTGTTTGGGTTCAAGAGATTCCAACCAAAGGGAATTCCAAGAGTGCAGAGGGAAATTTTGTTGTGGTTGCTACAATTGTAGATATACAAAGATCGTGAGTTGTCGTGATTGAATCTTCCGAACCATTTGCGACGGAGAAAGAAAAAAAAGAGAGAAGACAAATGAGAGAGAAGGGGAGTGGGTGTAAAAGTAAGAGAGAGAGAGACAATGAAGATAGCAATGGATGTTTGGCAATCCTATTATATATACACTTGTTTGGATTAAAGGGCAAAACGTGTTTTTACCTATAAATGGGGCTTATTGGTTTAAAAACTTTTTGACAGGACCTAAGCTACTATCAAATATGTAGATAGGACTTTTAGGTAATTAATCCTTCTTTTTATTTTTATTTTCTAGTATTTTATTTGTAATTATCACCAACAGGATCTAATGGTCTCGGTTTAACATCTTGGATGCAGTTACCCCAACAACAACTACTACTCATGTCTTCTTCCTTTGAACAAGCATATGATTCCCTATAAAAGGCGATCCAATACTAGTAAGACAAACTTATCAATAAATTCTCCATTCAAACAAATTATAAACATGCTGGTAGCCTTTAGAAATTGATGTCTACATCTCGAGGTTTTAAAGTATCACAAAAACGAATATTGGTCGATACAGTGAATTAGATGACCATTGTCATAAATTTTTTAAATCATTAGTCACAATAAAGTTTTATAATAGCCCATTCGATAGTATCGTTTGTGAATCGGATTGTGAATTAGACAAAGTACCGATGCGTAGTGCAAACTGACTTATACATATACAATTTTTATCTATGGGTGCTGGGAGTCCAAAAAATTGTTATATATCGGTCTATATTTAAAATTAGGGGTACTTACTAATCAGTCCTATTAACTAAATTTATTTATCTACAGGTCCTAACTAATAAATTTAACACTATAAAAATAAAGAGACTGATAAATTTATCACTATAAATTTATTTATAAAAACAAAGAGACTGATAAATTTATCACTATAATTTATTTATAAAAATAAAAGACTGATAAATTTATCTTTATCATTTAATAAATTTCTCAATAGGACTTAATGAGTAATAAGTCTCAAAAGTAGGACCTATTGGTAGTTTACCCTTAAAATTATGGTACAAATTAATACACCGAAAAGAACATTTCTCCTATTTTGGGCAAGTTGGATTTTATATTGTTTATGAAATACTTTAAAATTGTTTTTAGATCTTTGAATTTAGAGAAAAATTTGTGAAGCAAAATGAAAACAAAAGGAAAAAATGAACAAAATTTATTTTTTATATTATTCACTTTTTCATTTCATTTTCTTTCCCTCTGCAAATTCCAGTCCAAACACACCCTCTACAAACACCCTGATTTTTTTTTTAAGTCAATATTGGTCTTAATTATGGTCTACAATGTATGATTGTACGCTTCTACTTGGATAGCTCTTGGTCAGAGCTCTACTTGACCATGGTAACACCTTAATTTCTTACTGCTATAGGGAATGAGTTAGATCTGTGAAGTTTATCATCGGTTTTACTTTAACAATATAAATAGTTCATATTGTAAATTTTTGTGAGTTGATCATCTTAAAAAAACAAATTGATTCAATAATCATAATTATATAATTTTATCACATTTATTTATTTTTAAATGTTATATTTTTTAAATTATATTTGTCATTCATTTTATGAGTATATATAGGACAAATTACAAATACATCTTTGAAATTTACTTAAAATACAAATTGCTCTATTTGACTTTGAAAATTATAAAGACTCTATTGTTAGAATTTTTTATTTAATAGAATTAATTAAAAAAATATAATTTTGAACTACTTGCTTATACAACAATAAACTTACCAGAATTGTTAATTAAAATATATTTGTGACATAATTGAAAACTGATAATTAATTTAATAATTTATTAGTAAAAGAAATTATTTCTCATGCAATTACAATTTAAAAGGATACAATGTAATTCTTAAAATTATAAAAAATAATTCCTATTTTAAATAAATCTCTTAACATTCAAGTTATAAATATCATGACAATCTGAATTTTATTTTTTTATTTTATGGTGGAGTCCAAGTATGGATTTGGCATGCAATAAAATGAAACACAAAAGTCAAGAAGTTTGATTTAGGATACACATCCTTTGTGAGACCCATGAGGCTTTAATGCATAATAGAGATTGGAAGACAAGGGCTTATTAACAACTGGAACAAAGGTTGTTTCTTCATCATCAGATAAGTAGTTAACATGCAACTCCTTGTTCTGAGGCAAAGGCACACTTCCATCATAATCACATGAGTGTGCTTGAAATCATAGGTTAGTGCCACACTTCCATCCATTCTTTTCAACACAAAATCTCTCAACCAAGACATAGCAACCAAACCTACTCCACCCACCAACACCAATGCCTGCATACTACTCTGTTTTATTTACCATCGCTTGCCTTTTTTTGCTGCTAATCCACCCTCCTCTCTCTTGCCCCCATTTCATTCTGTCAACAATTAGCGAGCTCAACTCAATATTCACTTCTCCTCTTATACCAACAAACGGTACTTCCTGCCTCGCAGGTCTACCACGCCTAGCACCTCTTCCTCGTCCTGACATCCTAATAAAGGCAACACAGAACATTAGCACATTCACAAATGTGCCAAAACTAAACACTCACAT